AATATGATATTACACAAATATAAGTCTGAATTATGTTTCTTTTGGCTACAACAAGAGCTGAACAAGTAATGTAGCAGGATATCATCCAACCATATTGTTAACAACAATGCCAGTTTTAGATCTTGCATGCCTCTAGTGTCCAATTATACAACATATTTTAGTATAATGACACCGCACAGGACGATATAATGGTTTAAAACGGTACACCTGTAATGCAATATAATCAACTAAATTCTTACATACCAAGTTGTTAATTTCATCTAAAAGTTCATTGATTTCATGACTATGTATCAGACCAATATGTGACTTTCCTAGAAGACGTCTAATTTTTTTCTTCACATCTGGTTTTGGTACTTTCACCATCACCATGAATGCTGTCATATTGTACAGTAGTGTAGCTAGTAACTTATCTTCATCTTCTTCTAGTCGTCTCTTTTCCAACGGACCCAAACCAAAATACCTACAACAACAACAATTACATTTTCGTGTTTGTTTTTATCTACAATCATTTTTAGAGCCACAGACATTTTTTAGGTTTGCAGGGAGGGATAAAACTTTATTGGTACATAGAACCTCTATAATCTTATTTGATATTAGTAGGGTGCAAATGAATGGTAACCACCAATAATCACTTACCTGTGCATCATTTCAGAAGGTCCTTGATCCATTCCCACAGCGTCTCTCTCAGTAGCTACCTGATCTAAATATACATCCTCCCAAAATTGCATATTACTATACAGCTGTGATTTATCTTTACCAATCAAACCTTCAAATAGATACTGACGAGTGATGTCGGGTGATACTGACATGTCTGTAGCAATCATGTTACCAGCATGATATCGGAATCCAGCACTGACACGGCTTTTGGCGTTCCAGACGCTGGGTAATCGTTTCCTCCGTGCTAGCTGCGCAGGCTGAAAATATACATATATTTTTTAAGCAGTATGGCAAAATTTTAGTACACTGCGAAAGAAAATTGATTTTTAATGAGATTTTCCCTATGTGGGAATAACTATCTATCTAGTATTCGTCTGACAATTATTTTGTCGTGATTATTTAAATTTTCTGGCAAAATGCATTAATTAACAAAACAATTATTAAATAAATTATAGAATAATTTTGGACCAAATAAACATTATTTTGAATTGTCTAATTTTGTGAAAGATGACCCTAGCATTCAAAAGGTTCAGTAGAATACAAGTAAATAATCGCATACCCCATTGAGTTCAATTTCACTATCAGACATCACGTTACGAATGGTATGATGATTAATTCGTGATTTCTTCCTGGATTTTCCTTCACCACTCTCGTTACTCATGTCGCTATCATTTCCTAGCGTGTCTGAACTGTTGCTCACTAGTGTACTTGCTTCAGACGCCTCTGAATCAAAACTTGACAACTTCTGCATCTGTTTATTCCGCTTCGACAACACATCGGACGGGTTCAACCCTTCGCCATTCGTTGCCTTGGCAACAATCTCGATTCCTCTGTCTTCGTCCTGCTCTGTGCCTGTTATTAATTTAAAGAGTGAAGGAGATTTAATACCTGCACCTGCAACAACAAAAAAAAACATTGTACAGAAAGTTTAGATAATTTTCATCTTGTGTCCCCAACAACCACTTTTGTTATGGGGCTAATATAGTTTTTAATTTTTGTAATGTATAGTCTTTGTATTTTGGATAAAGTTTTTTGTGTACATGAACTTGTATTATCTATGGTATGTTATTTCCACCTTTTTAAAAAAAAATTTTAACAGTTATTTGAATCTGTGGTCAACTTCTTGAAAATGTTAGCTTACTATCGGCAAGCACAAGTTTCATCTATCTACAGATAACAGTACATCTGTTTTTGACCTGTGGTGGCGCTATTCGATATTTATTTTTTACCAAGTTTTTTTCTGCATGCTGTGACGATAGACTCTGGGAAAGACAAGGATATTTTGTTTTATACTTTTTTTTTAACTCAGGATACATATTAGATGGCATTTATCTTTTGTGCAAAGACAAAATATAATGACTGAATCAATCAACAATGAATGGTGTCTGCACAAAGTGAAATAACACTGGTTACACAGCAAACAGATGTACACCATACAAGAAATTACATTTATTATAAAAAAAAATGATATTATATGCTTTTAGAGTAATTACAGTAATGGTTTATAGACCCTTCATAATAGCTTAATTAAATATTTGATCGTTTTAAATGAGTATGTTTTATATTGACCATTTGTCTGGCAGCATTATCTACTGAAAAACACATCAATATTTGATCAATATTAGAACGACATGTTCTTTCATGAATTCAAATTATAAAACTGTGCTGTATATTTACAACAAAAATGTGCTCAAATTGACAGACACTCAGCAAACTTAATTATAGTACTTTATTTGATGAAAATCCCTTGAAATAAATAACATTATTGCTTTGTGGCAAATTGAGAGATGTAAACTGTATAATCAAATGACAAACATGATTCGTTGGAATAAACGTTGAATCATTTCCGTCTCTGTCTGGTGATAGCACACTAGGGTCAAACTTGATACACTTATGACCTACAACTACTGACAATACATAGTAATCATTTTTTATTTGTTTTGTTTTTTTATGAAATTAAGTTTAGCAATTGATATTGACTGAAATTAGTCACCGCACAGGATGAATTAATTATAGTTGTTGAGTTTGTGACCTTTTGGGATGATACTGATCTGGTTCAAAACATAGAAGCGCCTTCCAATAAAATGATATCATAAATATTTGACAATAGATACATAAATACAATGCAGTGCCCTATACATAATACATATAAAGAGGATTCAACTACTGTAACGGCACTGATTATTCACTGGTTTTACATATTGCTATTTTCATCATGTAAAATTCACTAAACTTATTGTTTCTTTGCAAAATTTGTGAATTTAAAACAGAGTGAATATGCTTAATTTATCAAAATAGTGAAATTAAATGCCAGTGGAAATAAATAATTTTACATACATTAATTCAGGTAAAACAAAACAGAATTGTACAATCCAGATTAATAATTGGTTTATTTCATCAGCTCATCTGTTTTATGGAAAATTTAATTTTTCTTTCTAATCTTTATATTCTTCATTCCATTGGCAGTAACAACAAACTACTGAATTTAGAAAGAAGAAAAAACAAACCTTTTGCACCTATATTCAGAGAATTGAAAATTAGTATGCTCCTCGGTGATGACAGCAAGGCAGAGTATGACATGGAAAAGAACATATGTGAGCCATGAACAGTTATGTTGAATGAAAAATGCTGCCAACAACAAATTTGAACAGTTAAGACAACAACAACATGTATAGCAAGGTGCAATTCAGCACAGTGACTATTAAAGCACAAGAACACAGACTGCAGAAGTAGATATGATAACACTCATCATATATGGAAAGGATATCTTCGCTTTATGGCCTGAACTTTTTGATTTATCACAACACCACTGTTAAATCATTGTTTTTATAACTGTTTATACAGGTCTGGCAAACAGCTAACAGCTGGAAATATTTTGTGTTTAAATACTCATGCTTAACACTTAATTAAACCAGAGTAATCTGGAAAACATGATGGTTTTAGAAGGTAGAAAAGTGAACAGTGCAAACTACTGCATCACATTATGGATAGTAGTTTACCATACTTGTATACAGCCATTTAATTGTCTTACAGGTATATCTAAACCACATAGGGGTATGTGCGAGAAGCATCTTTTATTTGTGACAAATCTAAACATGTTCCAATTTTCACATCACGAAGTGAACAAAGTATGCCAAGAAATCATTTCAGTTTTCCCCAAAGTATATTATAGGTAGAACCATATATTATTAAAAAATTAATTATATGAGAAATCTGTGATATATCATTTTATTGGTGATCACTGGAATTAAACTTGGAAGTCTATCAATTTTAGTCGTAAATACTATGTGATATCACAACCGCCAAGTGTAGGAGAACGATACAACAACACAAACACGCATAGCAGAATTTAACTATTTCTACTAATGGTTGATTGAAGAAATAATAAACAGATTGCATGCACAGTCAAGTACAATGGCTTCT